GGCAACTATTAAAAAAACAAGCAGAAAATAAGTGTTGGCAAAGATGTGGAGAAATTAGAACCCTTGTGCAGTGTTGGCTGGAATGTAAAATAGTATAGCTGCTGTGGAAAATAGTATGGCAGTTCCTCAAAAAAATTAAAAATAGAATTATCATATGATCCAACAATCCCACTTCTGGGTATGTATCCAAAAGAATTGAGAACAGAGACTGGCACAGATATGTGTACACCCATGTTCATAACATATTCACAGTAGCCAAAAGACGGAATCACCCCAAATGCCCATCAGTGAATGAATGGATAAACAAAATACATGCAGTGGAATATTATTGAGCCCTAAAAAGGAAGGAAATACTGACACACATTAAAACATGGATGAACCTTGAATATATTATCCTAAGGGAAATAAGCCAGTCACAAAAAGACAAACACTGTATTACTGCACTTTTATGTGGTACCTAGAGTAGTACAATTCATAGAAAGTAGGACGGTGGTTGCCAGGGGCTGGGGGCAGAGGGGAGTGAGGAATTGTTAAAAGGGTACAGTTTCAGTTTGGGAAGATGGAAAGGTCTGGAGATGGATGGTGGTGATGGTTCCACAACAATGCGAATGTGCTTACAGCCACTGAACTGTATATTAAAAATGGTTAAGGTGGCACATTTTATGTTAGGCGTATTTTGCCACAACTAAAAATAAGAGAAAGAAAACACAAATTAGCGATATCAGGAATGAATGCGAGAGGAGGCTCCACTCAGATAACCTACCATATGACCCACGATTCTATTCCTAGGTGTTTAGCCAAGAGAAATGAAAATCATGCCTACATACGTGTCTGAACCCGAAAGTTCATAGACGCTTTATCTGTAACAGCTCCAGTGTGGAGGCCGTCTAAACGTCCATCGGCACTCTAATCAAAAGGCAAATTATGGCTCGTTCACGCAATGGAGTACCACAGCAAGAAAATGAAATAAGTTTGATATGTGCAACAACATGGCCAAATCTCAAAAACGTTTTCCTCAGTTAGACAAGCCAGACAAACATATATACTCTGATTCCATAAATGTGAGATTCTAAGCAGACCACCTTGCCTGGGATTGCAGAAGGGAGTAGATTGACTCCAGAGGTGCTCAAGAGAACTCTGGGGGTGATAGAAACTATCTCTTTATCGTGATGGTTATACCGGTATATACATTTGTCAAAACTCATCCAACTCTACGTTTTAAATGGGTAAGATTTTATTGTAAATAAGTTATATCTCAATAAACTTAATAAAAATCATATCCAGGTGTAGCCAAGGCATTTTTGGTGTGGCTTCTTCCAATCTAAACACCGGTGAACTAAAGGGGTAAGTTGTGCTCCCCCTCCCCAACCCCCCCAATCCACCCACATAGCCAGCACTGTGGTGAGAGAGGGACTGGAGAACTTCCATTAAAAAAACTGAACATGGGAGACACACAGAATGACACCTCTACAGCATTCTCACGTCTGCCAGGCATCCAGCCTGCTGCCTGTTTCGTGGTTGGGGCTTAGTGCTGCTTCCTGGGTTGGGGGTTCCTTCAAACACCCCTTTTCCTTTGGAATTCTCTGCTCCTGTCCCATGAAGCCAGTCTGATTCCTTGTTTCTGGTGCTATGTTTGTATTCTTTGCCTTTCTGTGGCATATAGCTTCCTATAAGCCATTGCTTTCAGAAATGATGGCCCATGCTGGTTTCCAGCCGCCCCTCAGAGCAAGGAACTCCTCCCCTGCCTCTGGTTCCTTGGTGAATTTGACTGGCTTCCTCCACTTTGAGGAACTTGGATGGCCTCCTACTTCTCTCCGGAGTCACGCTTCCTGCTCTCTCTAGTTGAGTCTTGAACCAGAGCCTGGCAGACCTTCAGTTTCCATGGCATTGCATTTTTGTTTCAGCTCAAAGTGGTGTCATAAGTTATTCTTTTAGGCTCTTATCTGATGCAGTCTCAACTGCCAGTGTCACTACTGTGTCTCTAGTTCTTACTCCCCAAGTTTCTGTTGTACTTGCTCCTTCTGGAATTCATATCGTTTCGATGTTGGAGATTTAGAATCTTCTTTATCTCTCGATTTTCATTTATTATACTCATTCCGTTATTTTTCCTTTGTGTTCTTAGGCTAGTCCTTGGACTAGTTTTCTAATTCACTGATTTGATTTTATGCTATATGTGGTCTGCTCTTCTCTCCTCCATTATGGTTTTAACATTTGGTGATCATGTTTTTCATTTGTAAGCACATTTTCAGGATCACAGATTGTTCATTTCCTTTCTTACATCTGAAATGTTCACTTGAATCACTAGAAGAGCACAGATTAAAAATACATTTTAGAAGTTTCTCCCTTTTAGAAACTGTATTAAGCTGCTTTTGCAGGAGGACGTGTGATTAGTCTTTAGGCTTTTAAATCTTATCTGTGTCATCACTTATCTCTTCATCTGACCATAGGGACAGGTCTGTGTTTCTCTAGTATTTGGAATCAACAGACATGCTGAGAGGATGTTGCCAGATTACTGTTGAAATATTTTAGCATTAGGAAAAAGTGAACAGGAAAGTATATATTTCCTATAGTTTCATTCCTTAAGGGGTAAGAAGGCATTTGCTCGTCAGGGCATCTTATGGGCTGAAGCTTTTCTTGCTGTGTGTGTTCAGGCACCCCGAGATGAATGGATCCAGTCCCTCTTTTCCAGTTGGCACAAGTACCATAATCATGAGCTCGCTGTAATCGCATCCCCTGTACTAATGGTAGGCTGTCCTTATGAGCCCCACGGCTTGCTGGACTGTGTAGCAGGCGGCACCCGTTACCCTTCATAAGAAGGCTTATAGGGTTGAGCTTTGCCTTCTACCCCCATCTCACAGTTCACCTTGACCACCTGCCCCACCACTGTGATTCTGAGCTGTCTATTAACAGAAACCTATTAGAGTTTCTGTTAATTGTGTTATCAGCTGGAGACAGTCTCAGTGGCGAGAAATGAAATCTCTGCCTAATGTCCTAAGTTTCTTGTGCCAGCCAGATTTTAGCAATGATACTGACCTCCCTCTTTCATTGGTTCAACTGCCTTCACCTGAAGCTGGCTCCTGTGAAGCCTCTGCTTCACCTGGCTTGCATTGGAGGGTGTTCCAGGGGGAATGTAATGAGTTTAGTTCTGGGACGTGTCAATTGGAGGTAGGGCTATTGAAGTTGTATTTGTAATGGGGCTGGAGATGTAGATTTGGTAATCAGAGCTTCTTATTTGAAAGGCTAATAGTATATTGAATTGTCCAGGAAAAACATGTAAAAAGGAAATAGATAAGATTAGACACAGAACCCTGGGATTGTAACATGTATGGGACGGGCAGAGAAAGAAAAGCTACTGAATGTTACCGTGATAGAAGTTTCTCAAGGAGAGACCCAGGAAAGAATGGTCCTATGGAGCCAATGAGTGTGGCATCTTTAAACACTCCCTGGTGTTTTGGTGAGATCAACTGGGGAGGGTAAGGTCAGATTATGGCTCATTTACTTGAGCAGCTGGGAGTTGGTTGATGACTTTACATACAGCATGTTCAGGATGAGTGGAAGTCAGGTTGTAGTTGATTGAAGAGTATATAGCGGTAAGGGCATGGGCCCAATAACTTATTTTGAAAATGTACTGTGAAGGGAAAGAGGTAGATTGGTATAGAGGCCAGCTGCAAGTGAGTTAAAAGGGTGTGTGGTTTTATGTATGCACCCTGTGTAATAAACCAATAAATGTTTCAGTCCTGTTTTTTATTAATATTTTCTATGAGAAGAATCACTTTTAATATTTAAGCATTTTAAAAATTTTAACTATCGCTCTTTTTATGACTGTTTAATCTATTCCTAAAAGAGAACAGGCCATGCTTAGTATGATCCATCAGGTTGCCTCTTCCCACATACTGAACTTTAAATGCTTCTGTCAGCTCTAGGATGTTGGCTGGTGAGATTACTCTCAAAATATGACTTTATCTTCCTTTCTCACTTTTTAAAAACTATGTGGCTATGTGGGATATTGAGTAGGGGTATAAAAAATCAGTAGCTTTTCCAGACATTCTAAATTATTTCGTAACTAGTCTAAGGAACGTTATTCTATTAGAGTTACTACCAAAAAACACCTTCATTGTAATCTGGTCTTTTTGAATTACCATTTTATCTTTTGGGAATACTTAGCACAGCTCACTGTTTGTGAAGGAAACCCTGATACGGCTTGTGGTTGAAAGTTAGTGTCTTTAATTCATCATATAATGGTTAGTTTCCATCTCATGGATATTGAAGCCGCTGTTCAGAGAATAGATATTTGTAATCGTAGAACTTTCATTGACGGAATGTGAATAAAAGTGTATGAGAGACTCCAGGCCAGGGTGGAGTATTGAGAATGGTATTTTTATGTTGTGTTTTAAATTGGAGAGAAGTATTTTTGTTCAAGCTATTTGGAAACGTAAACTGCTTTCTTATGATGTACTTACCACATTTTACATGAATTAACATGGTGCATTTTTAAATTGAAGACTTTGATTTTTCTGTGGCTTCTGACAAGATTTCAAATTAATTCAGACTTTCAGCTGCATGGAAGCTTTGTTGTTTTATGTATTTTAAGGCTTCATCTTGATGTGGAACATGACTCCAACAAAACATACTAACCTTTTAAAACAATTATTTCCTCTGAGAATATATGCTTCATGTTTTTTTCTTCCTATACTTAGGATATGGGGAAAGGAGGAGAAAAATATAAATAGATGTAGTTTATTGTAGTCTCACTTAAAAATAGCATTTGTTTGTAAGCAAGTATGTGGCATTTAGGCAACATTTTATTTATAGTTTAACCTAAATGAAATAAAATATGAGAAATACAAGTTATTATTTAGATTGTTTGCTACTAAAACATCTTTGCTAATATGAATAGTCATCTCATCCCCCCCCCCCAAAAATTGGTAATCCTGCATTTAACAGCCCCCGTGTCCTCCGAGTACCCCAAATTCTGATTGTAACTGTTTTGGTCTGTTAAGGGAACAGTCCACTGCGAAGCTCCAAACGAGATCACATCCTGTGAGTCCATCCGACAGAGACGATGGACAAAATATCACCTCGAAGAGTTGTGTAAGCTTGGATTCTACTTTAGTTTGTTTGTTGCTCGAAAATAACCACAAATTTTTAGTTTCATATCGAAAATAACCACAAATTTTTAGTTTCATATTGTCAAAGTTCCAGCGATTACTTAGAAACTGAGTCAAGTCTGACAGCTTTGGTGACCATCCTGATGTCAGAAACAGTGCCTTTGGAATACCTCACACTGTCCATCCTGCCGTCTCCGCGATTCCGAGCCACCGTGCTCATCAGTCTATCGCTTTTCTTGTCCATCCAAGAATAACTTCGGAAAGCTTTGCTTTTTAGTTATTTTTTTACTTTTCTCTTTTATCCAGTGTATGTATGAAAATAATAAGACACCCAGTTGTCATAAACTTAAGAAGTTGGTTTTAACTTGTAGTGGAATGGGAGGCTGTGCCTTTCTGTGACTTGAACCCTTTGCGTTTGAAACTATGAATACCTCTCTTGCACCTAATTGCTTACGCAGGTTTGGTTTGAACAAGGTGCCGATGAGCATTGCAGGCAGCTGTGTGAAGGGAGGGACTTTGCCTGCCTTCTGGGGTCTTGCTTATGAAACCCTGGCTTGTCTTGGGCTGCAAGACTTTTAGGTCCAAGAAGATCATGAACGATGCATGACTGTTTTAGCACATACTGCTCCAAACAGAACTTCTTGCATTTTCTCCAGTGATAGTTTGGAGCTTCTAAAATATTTTAATGTAAAGGGGAATACTAAATATTTGTGGGTTTATTAGCAATCATTATGTTTAGTTAAAATAAAGCAGGTACATTTTCTTAAGATGTTCTTATTCACAAAAATAAAAATAAAAAGGGGACCAACAGTAGAAGCAATAATGAATTTTAGTATAATATATAATAAGCAACATTTTGTTCAATAGAAATTTGGAAATAGTATATTTTTCATTACCTCAGATGGTTTAAATGACCATAGGTAAATAGATCTATTTTTAGTAATGAGGTTTTCTAAAAGCATGAAAATGCTGTACTAACAAATTTAATTTCAAAATAAATTTTTTTTGGCTGTGCTGTAGAATATTATTATTTTGTACAGATTTATCTTTCTACATTTTTAGTGCTTTCAGGTCATCGTTCATTTTTGGCACAGATCTTAGGCTGTCCTTAGTTAATTATAATTTCAATCTGGTTTGATAAATGTGTAATTTAATAAATTATATGGGAAGTGAAAAACATGGAATTTTACTTTATTTAAAAAAGTGAAGAATCACCGTAATTGTGTTTTTGTGATGTGAATTCAAAGCTTATTTCTCTGTAGATTCAGGGTATGAATGAGAATTAATTTAAGAACAAAGAGCTTCTTGGACATCAGCACAAACTTTCCTGTTAACTCATTTTTGCGAGAGTAAATAATTCATCTTTTCAGGAGTCCCCCCCCACCAAAGCTACTGTGGTGCACCACAGTTAAAACTTTCTGTGAAGGAACTTAAAGAGAAGAGTCTGGATTAATGTTTGAAATATCCTTTGATGTTTTTTTTTGAAATCTAGTTACTGTGTGAATATATTGTGAAGGCATCTCATAGCCCCAAGCAGCTGTAATAAACAATCATTACTTAGAACTGAGAACTCGCTCAGTTGTAACATAACCCTTTCCTCTGAGGGCAATCACAGAAAGCTCACCAGTTCCCACTGCTCTGAGTGACCTATTTTTGTCCATCTCCCCCCCTTCCCTTCCCCCCCTCCCTTCCTCCCTTTTTTTTACCTCCTTTGTTTTTATTTCCCCCTCTTCCCTTCTTTCCTTCATTGTTTCTTCCTTTCTCTTTTGTATTTCAGGAAGTTCATTTGAAAAAACCTGCCATTTCTTTGGATGACAGCGACATCGAAGCTCGCCTTAATAGTTGGAATCTTGGGGTAAAACAAGTATTTGTTTTATGTATGTGTATTGCTGTGGCAAAATTGTGCTGCACTTGAAAACATCTGAACTCATTTAATTCTGTTCAGTGACTAGTATTGGATGTTAGAACTTAGTACTGTGTTAGCCCCGAGAAGGGCTGTGAGTACAGGAAAGAGAAATAACGTTCTAAACAAGCACAACATAGTCCCTGCCCTTGACACGCTTTCTTGTTGGGGAAATAAGAGATACACACATAAATAGAAAATAACCATGTAAGATAGTGTATGATAAACTACCAAACGAGTTAGATAGAACGTAGGCTGCAGTGCTGAGGTGGAGGGGAAGGAGGGAGGAGCTGGAGAAGCAAGGACATTTGGGTCGAAAGAGGTCCCATGGCTGGGCCATGAGTCCTGGGGTCGGTGGAGAGGGCAGAGCAGGATTCAAGGCAGGAGTAGGCGTGAGGAACAGGGCCTTGTAGTGGCCTCTCAGGACCGGACCTTAGGGGTCTGTGGGGGACGCGGGGGCGATGTTAGGAGCTGGGTTACATGAGAGCCCTGAGTGCTAAATTGAGAAGTTTAGCCTTTAAATTTTAGGCAGTAGTGAGCCCAGGAGGTTTATTTTTTCCCCTCCACAGTCCACTTCACATACATAGTGTTTAAATGCTTTGAGAAAATGGAAAGGGGTGTAAAACAATTTTTATCACGCTTTGTTACTATAAAAAGTTTGTAATTTGAACATTTGAAAAATACAGAAAATGAGAGGAATAAACTATTTTAAAACAGTAACACTGAGAGATGTAACATTTTGTTTCATGTGTATTTCCTTTTTTTCTGTGTGTATTTATAAAATTAAAATTTAAACAAAATTGGGGTTATATTTAAATACTGTTTTATTATCCCCTATTTTAAATTTGGTTTAAGTTTATAACAGTTCTGTAAACACGAATCTTAATGGTTGCACCAGTTCTTCCTTTGGATGGATATTCTATAACTTATACAAGCAGTCTGTTAGTTTTGGGCACTCAGGTCGCTCCCTGTTTGTTGCTAATGTAAGTAATTACTGCACTGAAATGCCTTAGAAGATTCATTTCAGACGTATTTGGTTGCTTCCTTAGGTCCAGAAGGTATCTGCCAATTTCTTTTCCAAACACCTGTGATTGAGATTGTCTGTTTCTCACTTCCTCACGACATTAGGGATTATTATTTTTAAAAACCTAAAGCCTTCCTGCCGCTGATGGACTTTAAGGAAAGCGCCCCTTGAGGAAAATCAGCTTGGTGGCATTTTGAAGGTTGTAGTGGATGTGAGTAGAAAGAGGGAAAGGGGACAGGTCATCCCGTAGGTGTTTGCAGCGGGCTGTGCATGAGCGTGGCTTCTGTGAAGGTGGCAGGAGAGTCAACAGTGCTTAGTGACCGACTAGGCCGAACAGAAGGCCTCCCGAGGGTTTGGTGGCAGGAAATAGGAATGAATGTTGGCTCTCCGTCAGTGGCTTGATTGTGGGGGAATCCACTGTAGGGGTTTATGAGTTTGTTTCAGGCTGGTGGGGTTTGAAGAGATGGCACGATTAATTGGGCGTTCAAAGTATGGAGCTTCAGGAGACTCCGGGGCCGGAGTCTTATGTCATAGGCGCTGTACAGAGGGGCAGGTGCGCCCGGCCCTGGAATAGCTCTGCTCCTCGCAGAGGGGGCCGGGTGGGGAGCAAAGCGAGGACACCTGGCTCCGGCAGGGCTGTGATCAGAGGGCAGGGGAATGGGCAGGAATTTAGCAGCGCGAGTCTCTTAGTGACAGAGGAGAGAGGAACAGCTGACCACCAGAGGGGACCAGGACGTCAGAAGAAAGACGTTTTCACTTTCGAAAGTGTGGGTAAGTTGTCTGAGTTCGCAGCTTGGGAGACGAGCACAGGCGATGCCTCTGGAAGACATTCCTTTGGCCAGAAAGCAATGTCAGAGTGGGAAACGGAATTCTGGGCTGTCCTTTTAAACTTGCCTCTGCCCTTAGCTGGTTGAAACTTCTCATAGACATTTCTTAAGAGCACAGAATGCTTTTCACGATTATTTAACGGTTCAGAGGATTAAATTTTTCATTTGTGTAATAAAATAAAAATAAAGCATCTAAAATATTTTGAGGTAATGCCTTAAAACTGGGGCTGCCTGGGGTCTGGTTTCACATTTGTATTGTTCAGAGGATGCACTAACAGTGTAAAGTATGAAAGCCTCGCATTTTTATATATTTATAACATATGTATTAATCAGACTGAACTGTATCTCTTGATCACAGTAGAATAATTTAAGTATCCAGTGTATTAAAGGCTAGATTTTTGCTTTGATTTTAGTTTGTATGAGAATGTGCCACAGACGGTTTTCCTTCCTCTTTCTGAGCGATCAGTTAATAGCTAGTTAATTTTTGTGCTCTATATGAAGGGTACACTTTAGATATTGTTAACGTGGCTGCCAATGCCTTCATGCTGATGCATTAGATGGTCCAGAATTTGAATTTTCTAGTTTATGTAAAAAATACATTATTTCCCCAATATATTCTTTCTTTTCCAGGAGTGTGTGAATATTTTTCTAGGAACACCTTTTTAAAGTAGGGATTTACTTACTAAAACTAGCAATTAAATTTTCCTCATGTATTTTTTTTCTTACTCTTTAACCTTTTAACTTACACTTTTTGGAAAGCTTCCTTTCATTGTGTGTGTGTGTGTGTGTGTGTGTGTATATATATATGTATTTCCTGCATAACTCTCTTAAATCGTTTTTTTATTTTTCTGAGGATGGGGTGAGGGGCCAGGGGAGGACTCTCTTGGGCTTTTCATCCTGGTCACCCATCAGTTCTCACCCTGGGTCCATGTGCTGACTGCAGAGCCTCACTTCCATCAGGAGCAAACCAACAGCGAGGAAGTAGACCCCTTAGGTCCCCAGAAACAGAGCCCCAGAGAGCAGGATCCAGGTGGGGGATTTGTGCGGGGAGAGCTCTCAGGGCAGGAAGTAGGGAAGGAGCAGGGTGAGGTCAGCAGGCAGCAGGAGTGAGTCTTCTCCTGATTCCTTCAGGGAGCTCTGGAGTGTGGACAGCACCCCAGAGTCAGTCGGCCCCACCCTGAGGCCAGGGCCCATCAGGAAGGGGTAAACCTCCCCGTTGTGGTCAAGGGAGCCACCTGCAAGGCATCATTGGCTGTGGATGCTCCCTTACTCTTCCTGCAAGGAATGCGGGAAGCCTGGCTACTCTACTCACTGTGGCCTTTGTCACTGTGGCCTACTGAGAACTGCTGTAATCAGTCACCCAGGGGCAGCGTCACTAGCGTAGCAGACCCATGAGTACGTCCAGTGAGACGAGCTGTTCTGGTGGATGGGCTGCCCAAGGTGCCGACCCACAGAATTGGGAGCTAAATCCAATGGTTGTAGTTTGAAGCCATAAAGGTTTGGGGTGATCTGTTATGCAGCAAAAGCTTATTGATACAGTAGATATACCAACGAGTTTTCTAGAGTGATTGTCCCAGTTTGATCATCAACAGTGTGTGCAATTTCTGTTCTGATACTTTCTCTCCAGTACTTAGTGTTGACAATTATTTTTAATTAAAAATATGTAGCCATTCTTGAGAGTGGTTAATGACATTGCAGTGTGTTTTTTAACATGTATTTTCTGATACTAATAAAGTTAGGTGCTTTTGAATATGTTTATTGATGGTTTGGATAGCCTCTCAGAGTGAAGTGCCTATTTAAGGCCTTGCCAATTTTTCTGTTGGCTTGTCAGCCTTTTTAAAAATGAATATGTAAGAACTTTGTATCTATTCTGGATTAGAGTCCTTTTGGAATATAGTATTATAAATATCTTCTTCCACTTTGTTGCTTTTCTTCATTCTCTTTCTGGTGTCTTTGATGAACAGAAATTTAAAATTTTAATGCAGTTCATTTTCTCATTTTACCACTTTATATTTTGTGCTATTTTGGGTTCTGTTTAAGATTTTTGACTATCTTAAGTTCCTGAAGATATTCTCCCATGTTTTCTTTTAGTAGCTCTATTATTTTATTTTATTTGTCTATTTAGATCTACATACCATCTGGAAGTGGTATTGTTATATATTGTAAGATAGGAAGTTTAGATTTGTTTTTGTGATATATACGTGTGTGTGTGTATATATATGTGTGTGTGTGTATATACACACACACACTGTCACCTGTATATAGATGGGTGACAGTCCTATTTATTGAAAACACCTCTTTCCCAGCTGCACTGCAGTGATATTTGTCTCATAAATCAGGTGACAGTACGTGTCTGTTTCCATTCTGTTCCTTTGGCTTATTAGCTTTTCCTTATGCCAATGGACTGTGTCTTTATATTTGTATTTTATTTGTGCTCATTAAATGTTTGTTGAAATGCAAGTAAACCAATGAATGAGCCTCCATTTGTAGTATTATTTCTGTGAAAAATGTTTTTTTAAGTTCTAAAATATTGACTTAAAAATATTATTTTGGAGCATAATTGATTTAACATTGAGGAGTGAGTTTATTTTATGCAGTAGAATTTTGGCAGTTTCTCTGACTGATGCTGTGACTTAAAAACATTTATTTTAGGGTGTTGCTAGTAGTATATTGCTTAATAATGTCCTTTCCTCTAAGACAGCTAAAATACCAGATACAATGTCTTTCTATTTTTCTGGAACCATGCACCACCTCTGTTTGATCAACATTAGTCTATAAGGGAGTATTTGGTGAGTTTGACCAAATCCTCAATAATTTGAAGAAACAAACTGACAGAACCCTTTGTAACCAAACAAACGAATCTGCTAAAGAACTAAACAAAACAGAACGTCAAAGCCAGCTTTCGCTAGAGAGCATTCAGATGTCTGTATTTACGTCTAGTTTAAATTATTATATATTTTACTATTGTGATTCTGCTTGCTTCTTAAACAAGAAGTGTTCGATCATGTGATTTCCTCATGCTGTTGGAACTTACTTATTTTTGGCTTTGCTTTCTGTATAATATTTTCAGACTTTAATGTTTCACATCATCCTTTTTACTTCCCATTTTGGATGTTCCTTGTTGGGGTGTCCTTTCTCGGGGTGTTACGAGAGAACGGGAAGTTTCCTAGGAGCATGGAAAGAGTAGATGTTAAGGCTGTTTACAGATTCTTCAAGTCCATGTTACTTGGGATTACAAAGTGGGAACATTGAACTTCAAAGCACATCTGGCTGCTGTTATAAAATCAGAAAATAGATTGCTCTTTTCCCCAAACAGACTCAAGAGCATGCTTTGCTATGAATAATTCTCATTACATGTTAAAAGTGCTTATGAGACAAACTCAGGGCCTTGTGAACAAATAACAACAGAAGATTTATCCTTGTTTGTGGAGTTCATTGTTGCTTTTCAGTATTAGAATAGGTTTTTCTCCTTTTTTCTTTGGTCCATTTGAAAAAGGAGATCTATGATAAAAGAAGGAGTCCTTAACCTGTGTGTTTAGTGGCTTTTAAGGGTGGAGTGGGTAGACTGGGAGTGACTGTATAGTTGAGAGGCTGCATCGTATTAGCTCAACCAGTATTTTGTACCCCGCTTATAAAGGTAGAGCTGAGTAAAAATAAGTCACAAATGGTTTTCTTGGCTTTTGGTTTTAAATTTTAAGCTTAATTAGAGCTTGAGCATCGTTGAGAATTCCCTGCTTCCCTCTTCCTTTATTTCCCCCCTTAAATTGAACTCTCCTTCATGACTTGGGGTTTATATATTTTCAGATTTGCGTGTGTCTTTGAAGAACTTACTTTCTATGCTGGTTTTCTCCATTCCAAAAATAGAGACTAGTTATTTACTTTTCATATATATACCTTCAAACAATAAATATTTATCGAGTGCACTTTGCTGCCTGCTGGACCTTTTCTGCCTCTATTTTTAAAACAGCTGAGTATATATAGTCCAGTGCTATTTGCTAAAGAATATGCCTCTTTGTCTGGTATGATATTTAAGTGGATTTTATTGTCTTTACTTAATGAATGTTTCCAAAAGTAAATATACTAATTCATACACCCACCAGTAGTGCTCCACATCTGGAACACTCTTTCTGTCAAATGGTTAATGTATGCCAGTCGGTGGCTGTAAAACAGCATCGCATTGCAGTATTCCTGTACATTTTTCTTATTTGTAAACAGAGTGAGCATATTTTCATATGTTTACTAGTCATTCACATTTCATCATCAGTGAAATGTGTCTCAAGTCTTTCCCATTTTTTTTCTAATGGATTGTTCTTTCTTTTTTAATTTTTCAAGACCCTCTTTACACATTTTAGAGACTAAGCATTTGTGCAAACATCTCCCAATGTATGTCTTGCCTTTTCACTTTATGATATCTTTTTTTGGAGATAAGTTCTTATTTAAAGTGGTCAACTTTATTAATGTGTTTTTTGCTTATGCTTTTTTTGTTTCTTGTTTAAAAAAGTTTTACACTGTAAAGCCATACAGCCATTCTTCTAGATTGTCTTCTGATAGTGTTTATACTTCTGCTTTTAATTATAAGTATTCAGTCTTCGGAAGTTTATCATACATGGTGTGAGGAAGGGATCTGATCTAATTTTCTTCCACGTATTGAACACATCCTTATTTCCTCAATAACCTGCAATGCTGTATCTTTCATGAATAATATGCTCAAATATATTTGAGTTTCTGTACTTTCTAGTTCCATTGACTTTCTTCACTACTGTAGTTTTATTATGTCTCTGAGCCACCCCCCCAGATCTTTTTCTTCAGGCACGTCTTTACTATCCTTGTCCCTTTATCTATAATATGTTTTATAATGAGCTTCGTAAGTTTTCAAAAACCCTATTTAGATACTGGTTTGGGTAAATTTAGTCACTACATCAAGCTAAGAATTGACAGTCTTACAATATTGAGACTATTCAAAAACATAGGCTGTGAAAGGATCATGAAAGTACAATTGTGTCTGCAAAGGTTATGCTTTATATTTCATTTGTTAGTGGGCCACTAAAAATGTATTATGCAATAGCTATTCTAAAAAACAAACTAAATATTAAGACATATAGAAAAACATTTTCATAGCAGCTTAATTCTATATTTGCTCAAATAATAATTAAAACTAAAAAAATTAATAAGTTCTTATTTTATTTTTAAATTTTCAGATAGAAAATCCTCGGTACCTGAGACAGAAGCCTATTCCAGTTTCTCTGGTAGGTAAGAATTCCATTGGACTTTTCCTATGGACAGATATTTTTAAATAAAATAAATCATTTATGGAAAATAGTGCAGTTCCACATTATGAAGCATAATTGTCTTGTTAATCCTATCACGTGGAAGTGGTGAATCATTTTTTCTCTCCAGTGTTGGCATCATTTTGACATGAACTCCAGGCAATTTAGAAGTTTACTTTGGGATTCAGGATAAACCAGGCCTGAAAAAGAATTGAATAACTCTCACTCATTCAACAGATGACTCCCAAGTTCAGCCTGAGAAAATCCAGCAGTCTCCATGAGGATCATTTGCTCTTTCGAATGCATGAGAAAGAGGTAAGACTGAGATATTGTTGATATGCCTTATTATTGACACTTTTTACATTTTGCATAATACAAGTTCTCAGGTTCCTAGTTAGAATAATGATGCTTGGTAGGAAGAGGTGGTCTTTGGGACACATATGAAGTAATGATGCAAGGTAGGCAGGTTTGTCTTGGTAGTTTTAATGCCCGTCTTCCATTCGGTGTGTCCCAGCTCCACGCCTGCTATACAGGGTGTGCTGAAGGGCTCTCTCCTGACTGCAATTTCTAATTCTCAGGGGGTAGGGGAAATGGCAACTCTTAAAAGCAGTATCTCTGACCTCAATGAATTCTTTCCCTCTCCCTTTGTCTTAAATTACTTGTATCTTCCTAGTTTCACTGCTTTTACTATTTTTAGTATTTAAATTGGTTGGCTAAATTAAGCTGTTGTTATAGCTGATATATGACATAATACACTTTCTTTCTTTGGTCATTCGAGAATAGAATAATAATTGTAGAATGACCAAAGAAAGAAAGAATGTGATAAAGAGGTGATATTGTTTGTTGGTCAAGAGCATAGGCTATGCAGTCAAGAAAGCGGGGAGGGTGGTGGTGGTGGTGGATAAGGTGGGGAGAAATGGGAGACATCTGTAATATTGTCAACAATAAAAATATATATTTTAAAAAAAAAGAATACATGGATTTAAATCCTACTTATTAGCTGTGTGAAAATGAGAAGATACTTATCCTCTCTGAGCCTCAGTTTTCTCATCTAACTTGGGAGATATCTGCTTTCCAGGACTTATATGAAGGTCTGTAGCCTATAAGTACCTATATGCTTCACATACAGTAGTCACTAAACAAAGGTTAATTTGCTTTATTATTTTCTCTTAAAATTTTTATTCTGGGACATCTCAAAATCATCATTATTTGTATTTTTGCTTATGACACCAGTGAAACACTTTGGTAATATGTGCATATGACAGAACACAGTTAGATTAGGATGGAACAACTGTGTCCCCGACCTGCCTTCATTCCCTAGCCCTGTGACCCGAGGAAGTTAGGGACATTAGTTCAGTCTTTGATTAAAGAGAGGATGCTTAATGATCTCACAGGGTTGTTAACAGAATCAACTGGGAATAATTAATATGTATGTAACTTGTAACTGTAATGCACTATTTCAGTGTGCAAATGTGAAAAATTGTTGGACTTAGATGAATGTTTCTAATAAATTTATGTAAATAATTTAATCTTTCATTTTAATGAGGGTGCTTCTATGAATTTCTAAAATTTAATTTCAGTTTGGTTATTTTCAGCATGGTCAAGTTTTCTTACTACCCTATTTATAAACTATCACAAAAGGCATTGCTTTTTTCCTTAGATAATCCAAATAATACCATGAGCATATAAGATTATTTTTGTTGTTAATGGAGGAAGAAGGGCTATTTTTAAAAAATTTCCATCTGGTAGGATTATTGCTGCTGCTGTCAGTAATATTCTTTTATTGGGGGTGGCATTGGGTAACAAAATTATATAGATTTGATCTCAGTAATATTGTCTGTTGTTTTGTAGCTCCGAGTTAAGGCATGCAGGATTTTTTTCTTACTGCAATCTAGTGTTTAAAAAACACACATTGAAATCAAAAGAAATTACATTTTACAAAACCTTTTTGAAAGTAATACTTCTTATATGCAAATGTGCCTCCTTTTGAGCTCTTGTTAGGCATTTCTTTCTTTTCAATAATTGTCAATTATTTTTGCAAGTCATTCCAAGTCATTTCCAGCCATTTTCCCTTTCCTTTTATTTTGTACTATTTCTTACTGTTGAGGCTGTTTACCATAGAATAAATAAAATAATTGAAAGGAAGTGGTGGCTTTTTAAAATATTTTTGGTCTTTCAAGAAATAGTATCTTTCTGATGACATTTTGGGTCAGGGGTAAACATACCAGTGCTACCCACATGTGTTGAAAGGAAAAACATTTACAGCCATCATGTATTGCATCAGAGATTCCTTTTTAACTGTGTGTGGTTTTATTTTTTCCACACCCTTATGTTTTTGTTTTTCTTTTTGGCATACTGTAAAAATATTTCAGCATCATTGAGAAGTTTGCATGTAAACATCAACTTACTCCATATCTTAAAATATATTCAGTGTACATTTGGGCTAAAATAACCCTTGTGCAATTACATAAGTCATTTCTGACTTGTTTGAAGAAATGGTTTCTTCATCCTAATATATTTGAAAGTATATGCTGAGTGGCCCCAATGTGTGAACTACCTTAGTTTCTTCTTTCTTTTAAAGTAGTACTTGTGATTTTAAAATAGTTCATGTGGATTTCTGTTGAAGAAATTTTGGAAATTATAGACACATGTAAAGAAGGAAATAAAATCAAGTATAAAATTAACACCTGAAAATAAAAACAGTGGTAAAATGTCATTGTAATGTCTTTTAGTCTTTTCATTGTATCCTTAAAACATATTTCCTTAGAAATTTGAGATATATCATATATATTGTTTTGTATATCTTGAGTATTTTCCATGCTATTAAATATTGTTCCTAAGCATCTATTTTTAATGGCTGTGTTCTGTTTCATAGTATGGATGTATGCCTACTTAATTTAATTTATTCCTCTTGTTAGGTATTGAGATTGTTTATAATTTTCAATAACATAAATACCTCTGGGAAGAATATCCTTATATATCTGTCTGTATATGCATCTCTTAATATTTCTTTAGGATAACAAATTACATCTTACATGCTAAAATTAAAAGGATGGATTTTTATGTTTACTATCGTAAACAATTTAATTTCTTTTTTTTTGTTAATCCTCACCTGAGGATATTTTTTCCATTAATTTTTAGAGAGAAAGTGGAAGGAAGGGAGGGAGGAGAGAGAGAACGAGAGAGAGAGAGAGGGAGGGAGAGAGAGAGAGATCTCAGTGTGAGAGAGACATATCGATTGGTTGCCTTCCACACATGCCTGACCAGGGCTGGGGATCAAACCTGCAACCCAGGTACATGCCCTTGACTGGGAATCAAACCTGTGACCCTTAGGTTCATGGGCTGGCACTCTAACCACTCAGTCATGCTGGCCAGGGCCCATTTTAAACTTATAATGGTGTGGAAAATATAAAGATGTTACATGAGTAATATTTGCAATATTTTATCACAGAATTGTGGTAGTTTTATTTTGGTGGCTAAAAATACACCTATAAAATATTTTAAGGTGTTCTTTAAATTTTCAGCTTATTTTGGGCATTGTGAGGAAACATATGCTCAGTGACAGTGATCCTTTAACTGGAGTCTATCATTCACAAACATACTTGGATTTGTTTGCCTTTGTAATTGCTAACACATTGCCTGTGATATCCACATCACAGAATTGTGTGACAGTTAGTATCAAGCAATAGGGGGTTTTTTTTGTTTTGTTTTGTTTTTTTAGTATCCTTAAAAAGATTTCTGACATAGATTAAGACGTTTGGAAAACTGTTGTCACTGGAAATGAAAGAAGAAACAACACAACGAGGGAGATAAATTTTCAGAGCAAGCATCGGTTTTTACAGAGCAGATGGCTGAAATTGCTCTTTTGTAAAATAAAATAGAAAATTTCCTTTGAACCCCACCTCCACCCATATTGAATGTTCCCACCTATTGCCTAAAAAGGGATGTTGCTTCTTTCTTAAATGTAATGCCAATTAGGCACTTTTCCCTTTTGTGAATCTGCTAGTTAAATGTAGAATTTAAATAAGTCCAACATAATGAAGTCCGTAGTCACTGACATAATAAATGAAAAAATTGATATTTTAAAACATTTCTTAAGAATATCGCATTCAGATACACACAGTCTCACAACATAGAATAAGTAATTATACAAAGAATACCATTGTAAAGAGCACCCAGGCAACGATTAGCTCCTGGCCGATGTCCCAGATGCTCACTGTCTGGCCCTTCCATCATAACTCTCTTTAGTCGTCCCTAGAAGTGACTATTATCCTGGTTTATTCTGATGATCATTTCCCTCCTTTGTTTTAAAGTTGATTTTACTATCAATTCCTACATCCTTAAAAGTGAAAATATTTTATTGTAGTAGGTTTTGAGCTTCATATAAATAGAACTAAACTTTATATATTCTTTTGTGTCTCACTTCTAATAGTATGTTGGTGACATTCATCCTTGATATGTCATATCACTATAGTAGGTTCATTTGCTGTCTATTAAATGCATCTGCCATCATTTCTTCACATTTTTTGATGAATCTGTTCTGATTTTCAGCTTTTACAAACAATGATCCTATAAACAATCTTATACATGTATCCTGACACACGTGTGCAAGTTTCTCTAGGGTAGTGGCTCTCAAAGTATGGTCCATGAGCCCCATAGTCCCTGAGACTCCTTCATGAAGTCTGTGAGGTCAAATTATTTCTGTAATAATATTTAAATGTTATTTTCTTTACTGTATTGACATTTGCATTAACTTTGCAAACACAATGCTGAGTGAAGCTATGCCTTGGCCTAAATCAAGATGGTGGCGCTAAATTGTACCGGTAGTCATGATATTCTTTACTGCCACACGCTCACAGGGAAAAAATTACCAATTTTACTTAAGAATGTCCTTGATGAAGTAAGCAGTGAAATGATTAATTAAATGTTGTACCTCTGAGTGATGAACGGGAACTATGCATAAAGATCGACTGCCTATCACAGTACGATGGCCGCTGGGAGCAAGGACACTTGCGTGATTCATTCAGTGATGAGCTGAATAGCTGCTGTTTTTGTGGATTACCATTCTTATTTCAAAGAATGACTGACTGACAAAGCAGGGTTATTCAGACTTGGATATTGGGCAGACATTTTCTTAAAAACGAACAAAATGTAAAACAACTGATAATGTTTGTTGCTAATGATAAGATTTGACCTCTTAATTCAAGTTAGAATTTTGGAAAACTTGTATCAGTCACCATGAGCTTGAGAGCTTTCTAATACTAAGACTTTTCTGATGAGATCAGTGGTGATCTTAACCAGTGTGAAGTTTTGAT